CCCCGTGTCTTCTCACAACAGATAGATGTCACAATGTCCCCTCACCCGTCACCAGCCGCTTCCTGTTGCGTCCCTGTATGTCTTTTAACAAGTAACTGGAGACCGAGCGATGCACCGACCCAGCCCGGACACCGGAGGAGTGGACGCGGGGTGTTGGAGCAGAATGAAATACGGAAGAAGATTCACATGAAAAGTTACTGAGACAGGTGACAGGAAACCAGCTGTGATCGCTCCCTCGCTCCCTCTCTGCACTTGTCATAATACGACTGATGACGAATGAGAGGACAAGATCCTGCACGTTTGTCTTATCTTTACTGTGATTGGACTGCAGACACTGTGACCCCGCCCACGTCATCATTTGATTGATAAACAGGTTTTATGTTGCCAGGTTGTGTGTGTGTGTGTGTGTGTGTGTGTGTGTTGATGCTTCTTATCCATCATGTGCAAACATCTGCAGAACATCAGGCTATCGACGATCCAGTTTTATTTGTGTAACCCACATTCACAATCACAGTTTGTCTCATAGAGCTTAAAGGGATAGTTCAGCCAGAAATGAAAAAATTCCCTCATTATTTACTCACCACTGAGCCGATGGAGGGGTGGGTGAAGTGTTTGAGTCAAAACACTTCTGGAGTTTCAGGGGTAAACAGTGTTGCAGTCAAATCCAATACAACTGAAATAAATGGTGACTACCTTTGCAATGATTATATAGCTCATAGGAAACTTATACAAGAAACATCAGCGCTAACATTTTCTATTTTAAATCGGAGCTGTGCACCCACACACACTTCCGTATGGATCCATCCACCCACAGCCCTCCTCCGAGCGGCATGGGCCTGTAAAGGAAACTCTAAAAATAACACAGAATATTGCAAGTACACCTGGTTTCATAATGTATGTGAGAGGATGGTGCTGGGGTGGCTGTGGCTCAGGAGACGTTCAAAGGAGATGGAAAAAGTTCCACGAAGCCTAGAAAAACACTATTTAAGTAAATAAAGAGCATTTAAAAACTATATATCAATAAATGTAGACATGGTTATCAGTGCCTACAGAATACAGAGGATGATATTGCCTAATCAATGTATGTCCCTAACCTTAGCAATGACCAATTTATGTCTATCTCTAACCTAACCAGTTCAAATCTTACTCCAGACATTAACTAGGACCTCCAAAATAAAGTTTGGGAAGATGTTGTCATAGATAAGTGTTGGTGAGATGGTAAATTGTGGTTGGGTTAAGATAACTTGATCTAAGCCCCATAAGATGACCTGTGACCTATGGACACAGCTTTTGTCCCCTTTTACTGTTTTTAAGTCTGCAATTAGTCTCTAAAGAGACACAAATATGAAATCAAACCAAAATAAAACTGCACAAAGTCTATTTGTGGCAGTAAAACCATGAAAGTGAATCATCTCTACAACAGACTTCCTTTACATAAGCACGTGTGTCCTGCAGGCGTTCGGCTCTGACACACCGCCAGCAGCAAGGTCTATTTTTACTAATGAGGCATGGTTGTCCACGGTGAACAGCTTCGTAAGAAATAGCATGGCTGGATGATTTTATTCACAGCCGTAATATAAAACTCAGAGAATCTGGGTGTTCCGTTTACTTCCACATAAACTCAGCTGGCTTTAGGTTCCGTACCTGGGTCAGGCAGGGTCTCAGAGAGTTCAGAGGGCGAGGGAGGTGATATGATGTCAGTCCAGCTGGGGGCAGCAGAGCTCAGCTTCTCTGAAAGAGTGAAGAACAGAAGAGGTATCCCTATTTCAAAACCACTTATTTACATACATATACATTTCATTAAAATACTTTTACCTGACAGCAAAAAGTGTTTCCAAGCTGTAGAGGTGCTGCAGAGGTTGGGTTACCGAGTATTAACTTTGTACAGGGTCCAAACTTCTGCACAAATAGCTATATGTAAAACATTTAAGAGAAAAGAAAGTGTAATATATTTGTATTAAGTTCATCAAATAAAAAATAACAGTTATCAGAGACTGGAGGAGTTTTTGAAATGCTCTTACTATAAAAAGGCCACTGTGGTGGTCATATGAAAGATCAGAAACTACACTAAACCATTTTAACTTTCTTCATTTTCAAATCCTCTGTACAGGCTCATAAAGGTTCTTGACTGGTCGACCTAAAAGTATCCATTGTGACCGGAACCCATTCAAAATGATTTGGGCCTGATTAAAGTGCCCGCCCCCAGGGGATGGTGCCACCCCGGTATTCTACCACTGCAACAACAAGCTGTAGAGGGACTCAAACCCAGTCCAGTGAGAGGAGCCGCTGTGATTCCCATAGTGTGGATCAGTTGTTTGAGTTGAAGTAAGTGTTGAAAAAGGAAAATAGATTTCGTATCTACGGACATTTTTGAAACATACTGTCAATAGGGCATTTTCATGTGTGGATACAGGACAAAGAAACACAAAACACAGACGAAGATGTCAAAAGAGTTTGTGGGGATAAGAGCTGACGCTGGTGCTAACAACATCACGTGATCTTTACATCCTGCCTCCGCCTGCTGCTCCACCCCACACCACCCAGTGCAATAAATTGCTATCGTTATAATCTGCAATGTGAAAGGCTGAATACTTTCATCGTCTGTGTGTCAGAGATCACTGTCATTCATCATGCGTGCTGTTGCATTCTTGTGATCCAGTTATGAGATTGATTCCTCTGTCTGCCTGTCTGTCTGTCTGTCTGTCTGTCTGTCTGTCTGTCTGCCTTCCTGTCTGTCTGTCTGTCTGTCTGCAAGCTTTAACTATCACCACCTCTTCCATTGAATCACTGAAGCGTTGCTGCCTGTCTGGTCTGTGTCTGCATTCTGGTTCATCCTCCATTTAGTTTCCAGATTTAAGGGGAAACCTAACATGACATTAATATCCTGATATTCCAGATATACATAACACTTTTTTTTGCTAAGAGTAAAAGATCAATGAATAAAAGTCGGCATTTCCACAGCGGGTTGCCAGGTTGTCGGCCAAAACAGCTTTTCATAGCTGTGGACAGACTGAACACACAGCTTTTGTCTGCCCCATTGATAAAAACCCAGAATGCTGACTGTGCTGAACTGCAGTCAAACTGAATCTACGTCTGGTCTGCGGCACCTCGCAACCCCGTACCCCAACAACCTCCCCAAACTGCCCCTGAAACAGCCCCTGGTGTCCAGCCCAGTTTCTCTTGGCCTGTACATGCATGGAGCAGATAAGCCCCCATGCTAGCCGGCCAAAGCCCTGCAGGATTAGACTAATGCAGACGGCGGGAAGCCATTGGTGGTGAAAAAACAGGCATGGGAAGTGAGCCTTATGTAAATTAACTCTTCTAACTTCACGCGACAGCAATCATCTCTCTTTTACTCTAAAATGCATCATTATTGTTGTCTTCTGGTTCTGAATCAGTTTTTCTTATTGTTTTTTATATTTGTTCACGTTTCCCTTTAGTGAGAAAGTAAATGAGCATAGAAAACCCAAAGAAACGACATGGGATGACTCCCCAATAGTCAGTCTAGTTGGCCAACAGGTGAGGGCGGGGCGTCTGCACATTGACCGAGGCTGATAAAACTGTCATGGTTTGTAAGGGCTGGGATAAATGCTAAATAGACTTAATAACACTTTTCTATAGCACTCAAATTGGTTGACAATTGGTGTAATGCATTTTTGGGATTCAGTATCTTGCCCATTGACCCTCTGGTTAGAAGACGACCCGCCCGAGCCTCACAAAACTTTAATTCAGGCAGTAAACCAATCAACCAATCATGTGGCTGCAGAGCAAATGTATGACATGCTATGGTCTATACTTTACAGTACATTCAACCATTCACACTCACATTCATACAGCAGTTTTGGGGGTTGTTCAGGGTTCAGTATCCTGCCCCAGGACATTTCGGCATGCATTCAGCTGGGATCGAACCGCTGACCTTCTGGTTAGAGGAAGATATTAGTCACAGGACAGCCGCCAGTATGCTGCAGATACAGAAGTAGTTCACATCAAATGATTTTGACATGATTGTCGGTTTGAACATGATCCCACAAAAGTCTGTGTTGATGAGAGAGGTCGGAGGAGAACGGTCAGACTGGTTGGAGCTGACAAAGAAGAAGCTAGGGGTTACTCTGATAAACACTCTTTTTCTAGTCTATGCTTTTATGATATTTCTCATCAGTTTCCCATAAGAAAACAAGTTTCACTATGAGTGTCTCCTGATTGAAATGTACACTGGCTCAGTCTGTGCTCTTATTCCTGTTTGAAACTGTTAGTACGTAGATACACATGATCACTGATTTTGTGAGTGAATATTACATATAATCAAGAGGACGTCCTATTAGCTCCCTTTTGATTCGGCCAGTTAATATCTCTATTATCTCTATTTTGATGATAAAACATCTGTCCCCACAGCTATCTGCTCTCATCTTGTTGTTGCTCTGTGCAGCATTGTTTCTAAATCTGCTCTCTGTCCAACCACACAGGCAGAACAATACTGCAGCATCACGTCACTGACAGACAGACAGACAGACAGACAGACATAACACGCATGTGTATGTGTGTGATGGATTATCACACAGGTAAAATCCCTCTGTGTCTTTAGTTTGGCTTCCCGACCTCATTGTCTCTGTCGTGCACTCCTTCGGTGCGGTTTGTTTTGGCAGCTCTGGGTGTCTGGTGTGCGGGTGGCACTGGGTCGCAGCAGGGTCTGGACTTTGTGGTGCCCCCCCATCCTCAGCCCTGATTCTGCTGACAGGGCCCAACCCACCATGAGATAATGTCATTCCAGAGGGATCGTGGCTAAAGCCCCTCTTTCTGGCTCTCAGGTATATAAAGAGGAGGCAGCCATGGAGCAGAGGACAAAGCACCCTGGGAACACACTTGACTCGTTGCTTTTTGTCAACATCCTGCTCTCTCTATCTTTCCTCACCTCCCTTCCCTTCACCTGCTGGACTCTGAACTGAGCAAGTACGACAAACCAAGCCAAGTCGAGCCAGATCCAACTGTCACCTGCAGCCACTATGGATATTGCCATCCAGCACCCCTGGTTCAGACGTGCCCTGGGCTCTGTCTACCCTGCCCGACTCTTTGACCAGTTTTTTGGAGAGGGCATGTTTGACTACGACCTCTTTCCCTACACCACCTCCACCATCAGCCCCTACTACAGACAGACACTCTTCCGCAACTTTTTGGATTCTTCTACCTCCGGCATGTCTGAGGTAACCCACACGTCACATGACTCATCAAGCTTAACTTTATAGGAGAAGAAACTCTTCGGTGATGTTTAACTCCAAAGTTCATAATCAGTAGTAGCAACATTAAATGTCTTTACAATGTTGCACCTTGCTCTTGTCCAAAGAGAACGATGCACGGTTGAGTTGACAGTCTCTGCTTGTGTGTGTGTCCTTCAGGTGAGGTCTGACAGGGATAAGTMCATAGTCTACCTGGACGTCAAGCACTTCTCTCCTGATGAGCTCAATGTGAAGGTCACTGACGACTACGTGGAGATCCAGGGCAAACATGGAGAAAGACAGGTACACACAAACACACACACACGTTATTAACAAGATTCATGCATTATTCTCTGAGAAATCAAGTTTCACGGTAATCTGTCCAGTAATTCTTTATTTTGTTCTTACTATTATTTGTAAAAATAAATTGAAGGCAGATGAAAACATAACCTTCTTGGCAGAGGTAAAAATAAAAAGTCCAGAGAAAAAGAAATGTAGCTAAGTATAGAAGAAATCGTGAAAGAGCAGGCGTCTCACTTTGTTGTGACATTAGATTCAGACAGAAGTATTATTATTATTTCACCTCTTGTCTGGGGGACGCCTTTGGTTCTAGCAGAATGGTGGATAGGTACATAGGACCCACAGAGGTTAAATGCTTGGGGCCCCTGCTGGTTGATTGGTGCTGGTGAGGCCTCTTGGATGGGAGGTGGGTGTCCTTTAAGGGGCAATGGGTGAGTGTAGTTGCCTGTGGGCACATGTCAAAGTCCTGAAGATCGTTGAGATAGTGTTCTCCTCAGTTTGTTCCTCATAATACAGTTCTTCAAAATACAAATCTTAATGTTGGACTTTTATTTTGAAGTTCAACTGTGAAATTTATACATGACATCTGCTTCCATAACAAAATCAGTGTGAATAAGTAAGATGGTCATTTATATAAATATATATAAGTGTAATGTTCCTTTAAACCTCTGATCCCACCCTGTTTGTGTTAATCCTGCTGTGTTTCAGGACGACCACGGTTACATCTCTCGCGAGTTTCACCGCCGCTACCGCCTCCCCTCCAGCGTCGACCAATCGGTGATCAGCTGCTCCCTGACAACTGACGGTCTGCTGACTCTGACTGGGCCAAAGGTCACCGGGGGGAGTGAATCTGGCCGCAGCGAGCGCAGCATCCCTGTCACCCGTGACGAAAAGCCCAATGCCGCTCCATCCTCTTAGAGGCCCTGTGGTTGGGGTTGACCAGAAGTCGACAACCTGCGTCTACTTGCAATTCTTCCTCTCCGAGTCCTCCTAGCTTCACTTTCTCCTCTCTATATTCTTCTTAGCTCACTCTTACAGTTTGAGTAGCATTGATGTTTTGAGTTTAACAAACCTCTGCCTTTGAGGGTGGTTCAGTGAGGGGCAGCTGGAGCGTTTCAATGAGAAGAGTCATCGAAGGACGAGACAGTCACACGACCTGACGCTTCATTCTGCTGATTGTTGTTGATTTGTTTCAGAGAGGTTCCTCTGATGGTACAGGGTGGAGCTTGGAAGTAAATGTCAAACACCTCTGGTCCCAGATTTGCCACCAGTGAAGTTCTCTGAGCCCTGGCTGCTGCCGTTCTTCTTCTTCTCTCGTCTTGAATACGTTCTGGTACTGTAGTCGAGGCCTTGTTCAGTGGAGACCATACCTGCTCGTTACTGAGAAGTCCATACTAAAGAAACATATAATAAAGCTGTACAATTAACAAAAGGCAACTCCTGTGTGGATTGTTATGTGTATGTGTGTGTGTGTGTGTCGCTAAGGGATTTTTTATTCTTGTTCTAAAGCTGTTTTTGACACACTGGAGATATTAATTAAGTTCTAGATACATCTCAAGAATAATTATAATTATCAACAGGATGCATTTGACCCCAATCTGGCAGAGCCTGCATACTTTTACGCTGTTAATTCAAGAGTTTTTGTATTTATTTGCAGAAATCTCTAAAAACACATTTTCACTTTGTCATGTTTTGGTTATTGGATGCAGATTAATGGGCAAATAAATTATATTTAATCAATTTTAATTCAATCTACAGAATAAGAAAGGTACAAAAAGTGGAGGGGTTTGAATATTTTGAAGAAAATCTAATATAAATAATGATTTATATAAAATTGTATCAAGTGATCTCATACCTTTAAAGATGCAAACATCCTCTTTAATAGATCTTATACAAACATGTATAATCATATTCACATTCAACAAGAGATAATACGTGAACAAATCTTTAAGCGTAAAAAATGTTAAGTTTAAGCTCTAACTTGAACAAAATGAAATTAATTGAAACTTTGATCTTTACATTGTCTATCACTTCTTTGCACATGAAGTGTTAATAACAAACATGAGAGACTTTCACACAGAACAAGGACTCGTGGCTGAATCCACATCAGAGGCTGTTCTGTTTACATCCCTGACCCTGGAAACACACAAACACCGACTGAGTCAAACTAACTCTTCTTCCTTCTTAATCAAGTCTCCACATTTTCAGATTTTACAATTAAAAATGAACCGATATTGTTTTTTAAAAGCATTACCCATTAGAGTAACATCGCTGAAAAATGTGTTGATTATTGTCCCCTCACTTAGAAGTTGGCTCACTGGACAGTCAGTGATGTATGTGTTGCACAGTATTTACATTAAACCTCAGTCTATATTTGCATCTTTACACACTTGCCAGGTGGAGAACAACAAAACTGAATAACCCAGCAACACAAGTGCAATTACTTTGATAATAATACTAAAATAATCTTATACAGGCCACTGTTTGTCTTATTCTTATAACTTATGTTCTCACAACTTAGGTCAGAAACCTACTGTCCTGCAGGATAAATGCTCAAACTTGTACACTGATACAAAAAGCCTTCGGAGGAGCAGAGGGTTCAACATATGCCGTGTCTGTGGTACCTGTTGGAGGGCTTGCAGATCCTCCAGGGTCTGCTGGGCAGCTGCTCTCAGGCTCGGATTTGAGCTGGACGTGAGGTGGCTGACGCGGGCCTGGAGGTCTGGGTCGAGCAGAGAGGAGCCCAGCAGGAGCACTGCCTCCTCCTCCAACAACACCGACTGCAGGAGACGCAGAGAGTGGAGACAAACCTCCCAGTCGCCATCTGTCCAACAGAGATCAGAGGTGGTGAAGATGCTGAATTGAATTGTCAAACAACTTTTGGGGATTTATCAAGTATTTATTTTGTCAATAAAAACCCTGAGGTCACTGTGACCACTGAAATCTAAACATCTGTGATCACTCATCCGGTCCCTTCACTCATTACCAGTGGCTGCCCGCATCCATTTCAAAACACTAGTACTTGCGTATCGTGCTGAGAACAGATCCAGTCTACATCCAGGACATGGTCAAACCTTACACCCCAGCCCGTCCACTCCGCTCTAATCACAACAACAACAACAAAACAAATATATATATATCAGGTCACACTGATCCGGAGACATATAACCTTTGACCTCGAAATTCTAATGAGGTCATCTGTTCTTAAGACCATAAACTAGTTATGTGAGGTCACACTGGCCTTAGAGAGTTGAGTTGAATTAGAGACAATATCTTGTCACTGGATTTGTTGCTGTAGAAACAGTTGATCAAAGTTCCCAAACAACACATTAGTTAGAAGTCAGGAGGTGTATGACAGACGCACTCCAAAACAAGGTGTGATTCCCATTATCTGTGGAAAACAAACTATCACGTGCACCAACAGCACAGTGAACAATACAAAGTGACATGATGAGGCTTGTTATGGACAGAGAGCTGTGGAGCCTGTAATGAAACTCAAAGAGCTGTGAAAACAGTCACGTGTCACAGCATCTCCTCATGTACAACTTCATAACAAGCAGCGCGTTATTCACAGTGTATCTTCAGACTGACTTTAAATGTAAACTATTTGAGTTTGTCGCTATTATTATAAGTAACAACTCTGCCTCTTCCACACGAAAGCATGTAGCTGGATAAGACAACCCAGAGTTAACTGAGACAGGTAACCAGCTCGATCATACAGCAGGTTATCCGGCCAGTGTTCAGTTATATGTATTTTCTCAGACCTGCACAGATCTTTGGACTTTCACATTGAAAAATATGTGGCTGATTTGAATGTGTGCAGTCAAACAAGGCTCTAACCACAGTTACAGGAGTCACAAACTGCAGTGAATCATAACTGCTGAAGTTAAACGATGTGTTTGAACTTAAAAGGCCCACAATATTGATAAAGATATCTTCACCTCACTTTTCCTTCCTCAGCTGTGCCTTTGACGCACACATTCGGTGGATATGATAGAGCTTGAACGGGCTGAGGGAAGCTGACCCGTGTTTGAATTAACAATGCACTGGTGTGTGTTGTTCTGAATGAGACTGGTGCATGTTCACATGCATGGGGTCCTTACCGTTCAGCAGGGTCCAGATGAGAGTTATGAGTCTTGGGTTCTCACTGATATACCTCAGCCCGTTCACATTGATACTGACATTATACAGAGCCATCAGCATCAGCCTGCAGAACACAAGCACATTCAGTTAAATAAAACACAGGTACAGCACTGACACCTGCTGTCCACATCTAGATACTGACCACACTGACTGAATGAGTCTTGAGCTTATGAAAACTAGTTGGTTGACTTTCTTAAAGCCCCAACAAGGAGTTTTTAACTGGTTCAATATTGCTGCCTCTTTATGCACTAAAACAACAAATGAGACAATTGGGGAGATTTCTTTTTTCTATTAACTGTTCTTAATGTCTGTCGCTGGGGCGGATAACCCGTGAAGTCAGAGCAACAATTTACAACAGCGTGGCTGGAAAATCATGTTTAGGCAGAGGGAGAGGATACAGAAGCGGAGGAACGAGTTAGACTAAAGGCTAACCCACACAGACCAGCACTCCTGAGTCTGTTCCTCGCCAACTCCAGGTCTCTTACAAACAAGATGAATGAGATCAGAATGAGAATTACATCTCATTGTGTGACTGTCATCACAGAGACCTGGCTGAACAACCATACTGTAGTAGCCGGCTGTTCTGTTTACAGAGCGGACCATTTGAGGAATTCTGGGAAGAGCAGAGGATAGAGGGGTGTTCCTTTGCCCACAATAAGAGGAGGGGGGAAGTACAGATTCCTCGTACCTGTATACATGGATTTAATGTGTCTGTTTTCTCGTTGGTTTGATGATCGGTTTGTTTGTTAGTTTGTCAGCAGGATTACGCAAAAGACTACAAAATGGATTTCTACGAAACTTGGTGGAAGGACATTTTCTCCCATCTTTGAGTCTCATTCTAATAAAAAAAGTGTTTATTAAGACAAACCAGAAATTATACGACAGTAACTACCAGTGGTTTGTGATTGTGTTCTATCACAGCTTCACCTACACTTTGAGTTTGGGGAAGACACCAGGCTTCATCTGCTCCAGAAGCTTCATCAGAGTGTCCAGGAGGATGTGAAGCGAGCTGGACAGGAAGTTGCGCCCACATGGTACTGCTGCTACATCTGATTGATAGGGAATAAAGACAAGGCAGATATTTTTATCATGCAGGATGAATTTCTGCACAAATATACTGTGGAACAGAGAGAGAAGTGGTGCTGCATGACTTAGTGTGTCAGTGATTACACCAGTGTGTTGCAGAACAGACGCTGTGAACTCACTAGTGATGGTTCCAGCCAGAGCCAACACAAACTGGTGCTCCTGGGAGTTGTGGTCCTCGGTTTTCACCTCCGTGTCCAACGACCCGACAAAGCTCTCCAGAGTCTGAGCAGCTACAGCCAGAAAGGACTGGAGCTTCCCCTGCTCCATCAGCACACACACATACAGCTCCTCCATTCAGCTGCCCGATATCAAAATGTCACAGTTAAATGCTGTTTAACCACTTTTACAACTCACATCAGCCAGCCAGTGTGGGATCGTGTCCTCAGAGGCAGAGCAGCTCCACAGCAGACTGCAGGTGGCAGATCCCAGAGCAGAGCAGAAGTCGGCCTGCTGTTGCAGCTCTGTGCCGCTCTGCCACAACTGTTCGCGTAACAGCAGCTTCTCCTGCACGCACATTCACATACAAGTGGTAGCGCACATGTTGTTTTGTTGTAATAAAAACTGAATCTAAAATAATCCTAGCAATGTTTTTTCACAAGTGTGTTTCATCTAAATTGCATGAATTATTGTTTTCTTGACCCTAGAACTGGCCATTTACATTTTAATACTTCATTTACATCAGGAGCAGGTTCTCTCTACGGAGGCCGCCATGTTTTTTTTACAATATTCCAGACTGTCACTAAAAAATGTCACTAAATTATTCATACACAGTCAGATATAACGCTGCCTAACCTCTCTCTCTTTCTGACATTCAGTCTGCGCTGCTTCCAGTCGCGACTGAAGGTGCAGAAGCTCCTGTCGCAACTGCTCTTGTTCCTTCACAAGGTGTTCATTCACTGCAGGTATGCACACACACACACACACACACACACACACACACACAGGCACACACGTTACATAATGTCTATGTACATGCAATACACTCAACAAAATGTTTAACCAAAGGTGTAGCTCTGCAGTTAAAGTTGGTTCAACTACACCACCTACAGTTTTACATGCACATATAACAACATACTAACTAACCCTAACATGTTTTTTGTAAAAAATGGCAACAACCTGGTGTAATATTTAGAAATACCTCATTAATTTGTGGATTATGTAACATTATCAATTCAATTATTGTTGAACAAAAGTTTTGATGACACATTCAATGCAGGGTCATACCTGTACCTGAGTAAGAAAGATAAAAATGTCAACATGAATTGATGATTCTATCACATTCCGCTCCTCACAGCAGTATATAACAATCATTTGAAATAATCATTTATTAATAACTTGTGATTGAACACATCCTTGATGAGCAGAAGTAAATAGATTGATGGATGTATCAATAAAAAATAACTAACCCTTTACTTTCGGGCCACATAAGAATCTTATATGAGGTGAAAAGCTCTTCTGAGGTAGGTTCTGAGATTTTGGTGCCATCTAGGACGACTCCTTGCGGAAGAATATGATACCTACCAACCACCATTCAAATTCAAAGAGAGAACTTGTTGTATTGACCAATGGGGTTTCTCGGTTCTCTAAACAAAACTGGCCTCAGGTTCTACAGACACACAAATCACTTTTGCTCCACATTTCACACAGATATTTGTTGGAAAAGTAAGAGCATGTAGAACTTGTAATTCGGTAAAAAAAAACAAAAAACATTTGTGACTCGTAGCAGCAGATTCAAGCAGTTGGAGTGTTTGTGGTTGAAGTGGAAAAAAACTTTGTGACAGGTGATGTTTAGCAGAAGCGTACCTGTCTGGGCTGTTCGAGCTTTTTGCAGTTTCTCTATCAGGCCCCGATTCAGAACTCTGGGCACGAAGTCTCTCAGCTGCATGACCTCTGTGGTCAACTTCTCCAAGTCACATTTCCTCACTCTGACAAAGTCATCCTATAAGAAAATTCATAATGCAAACATGAATCTGAACAAGGTCGGCGCTCACATCAAGTGTATTTTGGCTTAATCACAGTGCTTGATTTGAGGTCAAGCCTACATTAGTATTAATATTTTATGAAAACATATTTACTAGCTAAGTGTTCCTATCCTGAATTAGCATTACAGATATCTGCATTCCAACTAGTTCAAACTTAATAATGCAATGAGGGGTATCTATTATTCAGTTTGTTTATCTGCAACTGAATTGTAGATATCTAGAATGAAAGCTCCAGTATGCATTAACGACAGACATGCTTTGAATTTTTCTATTTTAACTTCATAACAAATATCTGCAACTTTGATTCTGCCTCGTCAAAGTACAATTGTCTTGAATTGGTGATCTGAAGAGGCAAAAACTGATTGCAATAGCGATCAAATGTTAAAGTAGCTAGCCATAGCAAATCCACCAGGTTTCTAACCCATGTGGGCTCCTTCAAATGAGCCCGGACAGCAGTGGGGGGGTGGAAATGGCTCATCCACACATGTTATTGATTTCGCGTGATTGATCATCATTATGGACATAATCAATGAAGGACATTTACCTTTCCTCCATAACTCTGAGCCACAGGTTTCCCGCCTGACATCTTCTTCTTCCTCTCACGTCCACACTATCCCTCCGACCTCCAGGGGGCACGACGGGGGCTGGAGTTCCCGCCCGGTTTCAAACGCCAAGGTGAGCCCGACTCCAGTCCGGGTTTTGTGCTTCTCCCGCCGGCCACAGCAGCTTATCTCCTCTCCCTTTGTGTTCGAGTCCTCTCCTCTCTGGTTCACATCTATGCGGAGCCGGGAAGCCTGGAGAGAACCGCCTCCGTCCGCAGCTCCTTCATGTCCGCGGGACAGGAACCAGACTTCCCCGGGGACGAGGTGTTCATGAGCCGGTTCCCCGTCCACCGCGCCTGCCGGGATGGAGATGTCGGGGCTCTGGTGTCTCTGTCCGAGCAGCTCCGGGCTCACCTCACCGCTGAGGACCCCTGCTACGGGTGGACCCCCGTTCACTGGGCGGCTCACTACGGACAGGTATGGATTAAGTTGCGAGAGATGCACCGATCGCCTCCATTTTGGCTCAAACTGTCTGTGATGTTTTCTGATTTATTGACAGATTCGCTCCGCACAACTTAAACACACTTATTCTAACACGCAGCACTTATAGAACTATAACAACGGCTTTGTTTAATTCTCGTGTTGAGTGTCTGAGGTTTATAACAAATGGAAATCACATGTTCGTTAATTCTGTCAGACACTCGCGGGTTTTCCTGTCTAATTATCCCTGAACAATAAAGTTTTGCTGTGCGACAAAAAAATTTAATAAGTGGATTGCAGGATTTTCATTGGTTCCGGTGTAGCCAATGGCTGCTCAGGCGCCAATACACCTTTAAGAAAACAGGAAATGTATAAATATAAACACTTAAAAACACGTGTCATGGGTATGAATGAAAGATACATTGGTTTAGAGAGTACTTTTCAACACAAAGTACTGCATACAAGAAAACTAATTTATTTGCTAAGAAATACATAGGGAAGTACATAAATCTTAATAAAAACTATAATAATAATCAGTATAATAGAAGTAAAAGAACAATGATACATTGTAAAGTAAATTCTTGAAACTTCTTGAAAATTCTAAACTTTGGTCAACTTCTCCTGGGAATATACCAGGGTCAAACTATAATGGCAATCCTGCATCTGCCCCCTGACCCAGATCCACAGCTAAATGTATTGAATTCTTCCCTGACCCATAACACATCCTTCCAACAAGTTTTGTGGAAATCCATTTAGTTGATTTTGTGTAATGTTGCTTACAAATGAACACACAAACAAATGGACAGGGGTTGGAATATCCTGATTATCTGTCTTACCACATGAAAAATGTGTGTCCTTACATCTTTGATGGAAAAACAGCACCCTACTGTAACACTGAACAACAAAATCTTTATTGAGTATTGTATTGTCTTGCCCTCTGTGTTGTAGCTAGAGTGCGTGGTACGCCTGGTGCAGATGGGTTGTGGCGTGAATGTGGGGACCAGCCGCTTCGACCAGACACCGGCCCACACTGCGGCGTTTGGAGGACACCCTCACTGTGTGGTGTGGCTGACCCAGGCTGGAGCTGATGTCAACAGGCAGGTCAGTGGTATATGTGTGAGACATATAACCTGCGGTTCACAGAAAGCATATCTGTCTCTTTTGGCTTTTTTGCTTCATTCTATAAATCTAGACAAACAGATTTATTATTTTACATGTATACATGTACATGTGTAGGATTGAGGTCTTAAAGGAGCTATTTTAAGTTTTTACAAAGCCAACTTTGGCAACATCAACATTAAACTTTGCTCTTCAAGAGCTACTCCAGTGGTGGAGAGCAACACTGATAATAATCTTGGTTCTATTTCTATCTCCCCCGTGCTCTCAGCATCACGGCCTGTCTCATGCTTTCACATAGCCAGCGTCCAGTCTGCCCTGAAGAAGTAGCGCTGCTCACAAGGCTTATTATGACATCCCGTTCTAACCATCACCACCACCTTCCTGGCCTGCTCAATGTTCAAACATACTTGCACACACCGCTACTTTTTTGATTGAATGGATTTATTTGTACAGTCCATGGCAACAGCACTCACAGTTTCTAAAACACATCTCATTTCAGTGTCTTTAAAGATTTGTTTTAAAAATAGCGACATTCCTTTTGTTCCTTTTCCGAACGGCCTCGCTTCGTTTCAAATGGAGAACAGTAATCGGAGAAACCTCATCAAAGCTGCCTTGCTGAAATGTTTCCGTCTTTATATCTACTCCCGGACCAGGTTTAATCACCTCAGATTGAAAAAGGGTATCTTTCTCATCTTAAGCACTAAAGCCAGCAGTGTTGACTCATTAATTATAGCTGGACAAAGTAGAGCTGCTATGAATTATTTAAAACTTATGATGAAGTCGCAGTGCACCCATGTGGTGGATACTACATGTTTATTAATGGGTTTGAAACCTAGGACGATAATTAAGTCTCTGGGGCAAAGAAAACACAAACCAATACCTTTTGGGTCCAGATGTCATTTTGGCTAATCACTATTAAAGCTGTCTGCATATGACAGCAGATAAATTACAAAGCCATCATTGCATTTTAATGTGTTGTGTTGTTTTGCTTTCCACATGGACTGTTTACCTGCGGGCAACCAAAGCCTGCTCGAATGTGATTGGTCCAATTAGAGATGGAAATCAGAAGGCTTCCAGTCCCAAATCCTTGTCCCTCGCCTTCCGATGCAGAATCTGCGTTTGTCATATTCTTTAATAACACCTTCATCAATGGATATCTATACATTCTGTTCTCAGGACTTTGTAGGTGAGGCTCCCATCCACAAGGCGGCTCGGTCAGGTAGCCTGGAGTGTATCCAGGTCCTGCTGATAGCAGGTGCTAAACCACAGTAAGTATCCTGCCGTCTGACCCACGTGTGCAGCAACACAGCAGGTCTGTCACGCTGAGTGTGAACCACAGCAGCAGGTACATTTTCTTTCTCACGGGTTTGTTAACAATAATCAAAGCTCCCATCCTAGTATTACTGTTTAAAGACACTGGTGTCTGATGTCAGTATAGCTATAAACTAACAGTGAAAATATATATAAAATATACACACTAATTTGCATTTTTCGTCTATACTGAACTCTAACATCAACTCATTAAATGTGACACAGTCAAAGATAATCCTGAATATGCAACATACGTTTGACATTTTGTGCATTTACACTGTGTTTCCTAACATTGTAGAAACACTGCTGCTGTGGTGTTGATTTATTTTCGGTTTTTATTCAATCTCAGTTTGTTGCTAATGTAACATCAGCTGTTTTGGAGGAAACAGGCCGCGCTGGTTTCTCTTATATTCATCTCTTTCTGAGTAAGAGCTCCTGACAATAGCATTATTGGACATTGTACCGATTAACCGATAATACTAACAAACAACAGTTATTATTGAAAATTCAGAAGTGCCATGAATGTTTTGAAACCTAACTATTGGCCTTACTCTGAATAAGACATTACTTCGATCATGGCGTTTACAGGAGTTGCTAATGGAGTATTTCATCCACAGTCCAGTTCACATGATCTGATTATGACTCACATTAATACACCAGCTTTAAATCCCCAACCTGAAAAAGTTGAATGTACAATTTGGGGTGAATTATCTCCAATTTTGAAAAAAATCTATTACTCCTTTTTTTATTTGTCCATCTTGTTTACACCCAGGGCAGTTGGCAACTCTGTATGTTGATACCACAAAATGCTATGAAAACCTACATGTTGACGTAATGCGATTAAGGTCAGAACACTCCACGTCTTAATTAGAATATTGATTAGTCTTAGTACGACCTTTTTTAGGGTTGTGCTGTTGTGACCCACATCTGCAAACCAACCAATCAACACATAGGGATTACATATAGATATTAGCACACTGATGTGTGATGTAAGCTGCAGGGAACAGTTACTGCAAAACAGGGGTGTTAGATTCAATACTGCCTCACATGATCTGCTCCCACACACCAGGGGTTTGGGTGTATTCCAGATTTTAACTGGCAGTTCTCCTCCAAACCAGCTGATTCCATGCAACTGAGTCATATTTAATACAGTCGTAGCTCACGTTGATAGTCATGTTATTTGTGTGTGTTGTTTTTTTCCTTCAGGTAAAAATGTTCTCGTAATTCATATGTTAGAGTTAATTCTTGAGAATGTTGACATGATGCAAAGGCTGAAAAGCTCACGTGTTTCCATTTACATCTGGCACACTGACAAGAACACTATGATTCGAGTTTAACGTTTTAATTTGGAGCTATTTTATCAGACACGCTGACTTTTGATCGAATGATGTTGAGCAGATATAAAAACAAAGTAAGTCAACAGACGGACAGATGCATCAGGCTGCTGCTGATGACGCTAAGAGTCAAAGTGAAAGCTTCGGAAAGCTGCCACCAAGCCTCTGTCTGTATATTTTACTTATAAGTGGACAGGTTTTGGATTTCTCTTTTATTATTCTCAAACAGCAGATGGCCCTTGTACTACTGTCATATTTAGTATAGGACCTAACTTAGAAAGTATCAAATGGTTCCTGGTTGATCTGAACATGGAATCAGTGTCAGTAAATACACACCATGAGCTTTTCAGCGTGTGTAGAAACTTGTACTACATGTGACTTTGAACTTGACACTGTTTAACTGGTATGTTACATTTTGTTGCTTTTGCATCATGTTCTCTATAGTGTAAAGAAAGGATCAACTGTGCTGGCTGAGACAAACACCCTGCACGTTCTCATGTTTTACAGCTATTCAATTTGAACATGATTTTCTCAAGTAATCCCAGAAAGAGGGAGCAATCCATATAGGCACTGCAGAATCTGGCACACGTGCATCAGCGAGCATCTTTACAGTTGTGGCAATGAGTGTTCACTATCGCTTCCTACAGTTTCTGCAGCTGGCAAACTGGCGAGGTATTTCCTGCAGTGATTGGTTTCAATGCTAAGACAGCACTGATGATGATAGCCATGTCAAGACATGCATGCCATAGCTTACAACTAACTGTTTTCAGACACTGTGCTAACAAACTGTACTGGACATGCCTCAGGAGTTAGCGTAGGAGTCTCAGGTGGAAGATTATTGTGCTCTGTGAAGATTCACAGCATGTCAGGAGATCGTGTATAAAATGAAATGTCTCCCTGAACTGTTTATTGAATGAATATTATGATTAATTATAATGATGATAACCGATCGCTGTTATTAATACAGGGTTTCTACACAGTCTGGAAAGTGTTGTACGAGACCGTTCATTAAAATATTCATCAGTCGCATTGTCGATAACTTGTCTTGACTAATGACTGTGTATAAAGGTGGAGGATGGCTCTCAAAAGTAAATTAAAAACATCAAGATCACCCCCTGGTGGCTGGCTAGAGTAAGGCATAAACCCTGCCTCATCCCTGTTAGTAAATAGGTCATGGACCAAACAATAAAATTAAAGTCCTCATCAATTGTTTCTGTCATTTTAGGTTCTTATAACACTGATGCATGTTCATTTTCTGATCAGTTTGGTTTTAATTGGTTATTTGTGGCTCCAAATGTCCAAGGTGGCAGTGTTTGTATCTGGGAAATTTTAGTGCTATAAAAATGAAATGGTGTACTGGCAGGGTTCTTTAATACCACAGAATCACTGTTAACAGACTTTTGACCTCATGTTTGTACAGCGGAGACTCGTCGTCCATCTTTATTTGCAGTCATTGGTTTGGACTGACACTGAAACTGTGTAGGAACCCTGAAGCTTCTCTCAACACCAGACAAGAGGGCGGTATTGGAGAAAACAATGTTGACACTACAACAATAAACATGAGGGCGATTCAGTTTGTGCTGGTAAAATAGATGAGCTCTAATAACAGAGCAAAATAAAAAGTACTCAAGCAATCTTAATTAAGAACCATGTCCCTGCAAAGATTCCTCGTTCCTGGAGAAAGTTCCTGTGGTGGAAACAGCTAAATATTCTCATTTACTCTTATGGGCACTTTAGAGAATGTGCAGTTTCCAGTTTAACTAAACTGCATGTTTTTGTTCTGTCTGCACAGAAAGCTCCAGCTGGAGACAGTGAACACATTCTAACCATTCATAAATCATTCTAGGTTTCGCCCAGTTTCACTCTGTTAAAAGCAGTGAAGGACAAAACTTCCTTCTGTGGTAAAATAACCGTACACAGTTTGAGTTGTAGAGGACAGAAGAAATAGGCCTTTTCACTTCAAGCTGCATTTTCCCTGAGCTAAGAAACTTGTCCCACTTACAAATACTAATT